TCTTGTGTGAACCCGAGGCCTCTGCTGCGGTGGATGGGCTCCCTGCGAAGGAACGGCGGCTTCAGCCCATTTTTCTTGCCCCTTTCTCCCCCAGACCATCGTGCCAACCCAGGTGAAGATCGGTTTGATCAACATGCTCTCGGAAACCGGGCTGCAGGTCATAGAGGCCACCAGCTTTGTGTCCCCCAAGTGGGTCCCGCAGGTCAGTGCTTGGATGGGGTTTGCTGGTCTTTGCTTGTTAACGTGGAGTAATGTGATAAAAAGATTCTGCTCGCTCCAAAATCCTTATTGCCAAATCCTGTAACTGGGCAAGAAGCAGCAAAGTGTAATAAAGGAGCTTGCAATAACCTAAACCTTCCCTTTGGACCCTGAATCTGAGCAAATTCAAACACAAACAACTTAATGTACACATGTACGTGAGCTTGGCAGGGGGTGACTGAACTATGACCCTTTAAAGCGTGCAATGCTCTTTCCTCTTAGAAGACCCGTTTCTCTTATGGCTGACTTGCCGTTCCATTTAAAAATAATTTTGAAAACTTATTTTTTTATTTTGCAGAAGTAGATGAATATCTTGATTTCACCCTTAAAACTCTGTCTTGTTTCACATGCAGATGGCTGACCACACTGAAGTTATGCAAGGGATTAATAAGCTACCTGGTGTTAGTTATCCTGTCCTGACTCCCAACCTGAAAGGATTTCAAGCAGCGGTAAGAAATCAGAGCATTTGCATGTTTGCAGTGGCTTGTGCGTGTGTTTGCCCAGGAAAGAACATTTCAACTTTGGTTAAGGGTGGAAACGTAGCACATTCTTTTATTTAATAAGTAGCGGTTTCACCTGTTGGCGCCTTTAAGGGAAGTTCTACTGTTGTTTATGATAAAAAATACTTTGTTGCATTTTCTTTTAAGAAAAAAAAAGAGGCTCATGTTAATTGGCAACAGTATTTCAGTCTCATCTCCATGTCGCCCAACTCTCCTGACTTAATCCAGCAATTGTAGCTTTTCTGCTGCATCTGTAGCTTGGCTCTTCTCTTGAGGTCACGCTTGGGTGTCTCATGTTTTTGCTGTAGAATGAACTGAGGAGAGAACTGGGTAGTTGGGGAAAAATCTTCTCTTGTAAAAACAGGAGAACTGTAGTCAAGATTGTGCTTGTATTTCCATCGGCGGTGAATTTTGTACATTTTGACTTCTACTTCCTATTGACAGGTGGCAGCAGGGGCCAAAGAAGTGTCTATCTTTGGAGCAGCATCGGAACTGTTCACTAAGAAGAACATTAACTGCTCCATAGAGGAGAGTTTGGAAAGATTTGATGAAGTTATGACAGCAGCAAGAGCAGCCAGCATTCCTGTGCGGGGGTAAGCAGGGTGCCCGCTGTGAGCTGCACAGAGCATACGAGAGGCTGCGTGGGTCACGGGCTGGGGCTAATTTAGACTTTATAATCTCACTTCACTTTTTTAATTGAAGGTTTTTGTTTTATTCTTCTCAACTATAGCTATGTTTCCTGTGTTCTTGGCTGTCCCTATGAAGGGAAGATTTCTCCAGCTAAGGTTGCGGAGGTGAGTTCATCAGAAACACAGGCATCATTTTTGAGAGGTTTTGGGTTCCCTTGCCTGGCCGTGAGTCAGATCCTGGTGGCTGATGGAGATCCTGGATCACCTCCCTGAAGAAGAGAGGAGCCGTCAGCTAATGACCACCTTGGAGAGGGGTGGCTGGATCTAGCTGAAGTGGTTGGGGGCATTCAGGGAGGTCTGTGGTCTGCAGAAGAATCTCCCAGTGATTAGCCAGGCTCCTCTGCATGCTTTGGTTACCCTGTGTGGGAGGTGTTCAGCCCTGGCAAAGCTAGTGACAAAGCAGCTTTCTCAGTAAGCCAAAACCTTGCCTTTTGGACAGGTCTCCAAGAAGATGTACTCGATGGGGTGTTACGAGATCTCCCTTGGTGACACCATTGGCATTGGGACCCCAGGCAGCATGAAGGAGATGTTGACAGCAGTCATGAAAGAGGTGCCAGTTGGGGCTCTTGCTGTTCACTGCCACGATACCTACGGACAAGCTCTTGCCAACATCTTGGTAGCACTTCAGGTAAGGTGGTTTCTTTGCAGTACTGCATCCTTTCTTGAGTTTCTTTGGAACTTGGCGCTTTAGGAACAGGACCATAATCTGTCTTTTGATTAAGAGGACTTTGCAAATGCTGGTTTTTGTTCACAGATGGGTGTCAGTGTGGTTGATGCTTCCGTTGCTGGCCTTGGAGGCTGCCCTTATGCCCAAGGAGCGTCAGGAAACGTTGCTACGGAGGACTTGGTGTACATGCTGAATGGCCTGGGGATCCACACGGTAAGAGCCAGCAGCCTTTGTGGTTCTGTTTGCCTGCCTGAAGGCCTTGTCCTGCCGTGGCAGTTGCTGCAGGCGCTGTTGGGAGTGTTTCCTAATGCCCCTTTCTCAGAGCAAGTGGGTGGCACAAAGGGCCTTGTTAAAAATACCCTTCCGACTCCCTTTCCCCCTGTGATGAGCTGTTACTAGGTGGTTTTGCGGGGCAGAACTGGTACTGAGGTGTTGTATCCTTTCTCCCCGAAGGGTGTGGATCTGCAGAAGCTGATGGATACGGGTACATTTATTTGCAATGCTCTAAACAGAAGAACTAATTCCAAAGTGTCCCAGGCAAGTTGTAGACTGTGATACTGCATCAAGTTCGCACCTGAAGCAAGTTGGAGGAGAAAGCAAGGATCTGAAGTTGGCCTGGTTTCCCTTCCTCTCTACTCCTCTGTTTCTCCATGCTCTGAGAGAAAGCACTTAATTCACTAGGATCTATGAAGAAATGAAAACAAACAATAATAGAGTATCCAGCCTCGAGCATGTTAAACAGAGAATGAAGTGCTGCTGAACGAAGCTCAAAACAGTGTCTGGTAAATTCTACCTCATGAGTATGTTGCCATAAGTGACCAGCAGAGGCTAAACCCCAGCCCTTCTGCTTAGAGCACTTCTCCACGTCAGCCTTGACCCTTCTGCCTTTCTTTTTCCTCCTGTTGGGAACAAAAGCTACGACTGTCAAGACTGAAATGGAAAGCTGCTCCTTTGGGATCCACAGCGAGTATCAAGGAGCAGCTGTGGATGGTTCTGTCTTAGCCCTTAAGGATTGTAATCAAGGACTGTATCTGTTGTAAGATACTTTTAAATAGGTAGAGTAATAACCCCATTATTTAATATTCTAATATACTAAAAAAAATGTTTAAAGGAAGCTAGGAAAAGAGCTTTGTGGCCTCGCTCAGTCCCTGTGCCTGTTCCTGCAGCCCTCACTCATGGAGCGAACCCTGTGCTCCTGTCACCTTGCGGCAGGTTTATTCTATCTGAACGTGTGCAGGGGCTGGAGCAAGCTCTGTGCTATCCTTCGGGTTTAAAATAAATTATTTAATAGTTTATTTTTGAAAGACAAGTGCACAATATTGTCTTGGGGCCTAGGGGGTGGTATTTCTACCCCCTTGCTGTGTGTTGCTTGAACTCACCTACCGCCTCCTCCGTGTCTCTCCCTGCTTAGCCTTAAACCCTTAAAACAGCCTTAAACTCTTAAAACGGCCTTAAACCCTTAAAGCAACGTTAAAAACCTTTATCTTTAATAACCGCTTCCCCTTTCCAGCGCTTCCGGGCCCGCGCGGGCCGGCCGCCAGGGGGCAGACGCTGCAACCCC